AAATACCATGCTGTATGTTAATTGCACTTTGAAAGATGTTTATAAGAGCTTCCCCTGTCAAACCACTTGAGGTTAAGAAGTTGTGGTGTGTCCTAGGGTGGGGACCAGCAGTGCCACATGTACAGGTGTTCATCTGAGTCTGTATTTGCAGGTGAGCCACCGACTGCTAGATTCGGAAGGGAAGTCACACACAGCTGCCACACAGCCAAAGGAACAAGTCATTCCAATGGGGCCAATTATTGCCCCCAATAAATTAACGCTTGAATCAGAGCCACTATGCTCGCCTCTCTACTTCAAAGTGATGAGTCATTTAGAGAGTCTCAACCTTTCTCCGCATTTCTTTCATGGGCAGGAAGAGAAATAGTATAGTACGACTGGAAACACACAGATGACTCAGCAGCTTACCTTTTAACCAGAGAGCTGCTCTTGCATGCTCTTGCATGTTCTTTGGTTCTCACCTTGGCCTCTTTAGCATTGACATCAGCATTAGGCTGATGAAGGGTTCATTTGCAGGAGCCATCCACTGATGACAGACACAGCCATAGAAAAGGTCCAGCATTTGTGGCATGTGTCATGGCTCCTTTCCCACTCTGGAACGATAAATGCAGAAGTGGGGGCCAGCAAAAGTACTCCAAAGCCTTATCTACCAGGCTTTGGTATAAAACTTTGCCCCAAAATCTTAACCTAGATTTTGGAATAAAATCTCCACTGCCACCACCCAAGTATTGATACAAAAATAGGGGGAAAGATCACTTGGGAAATCTCACCCCTAAAGTACAAACCAGGACACAAAAATCAACCAATAATACCAGGTTAATAAAAAGGAAAGAAAAAGAACTTTTATTATCACCACAATATTCCTGTTGCAAGCATAATGACTAGATGGAAAAGTCACAAAACAATATACTCATGGAGGAGAAATTTACCATGGGCCAGGAACTTAGTTACAAGGAGAGCAAAACCCATTTTTAAATGCACAGACCAGATCCCATTTCCCAAATCATAAAACTATAAAACCTAACGGATTTATCTAAACTTTATTCTACTTACAGACTGTGAAGAGTATTTTTGTAGAGGGAGACATCCTGTCCCCTTCAATAGCTGGAGAGAACTGCCCAGGACAAAGGAGGGAGAAACCAAACATTCCTTTGTCCCCATTTGAAATTCCTACTTACATTCCTATTGGCCAACTCTACCTGAGTTAGGTACAGTTAACCCCTTAGTCCCCAGGCTGCTGGGCATCTCTCATGATGATGACAGCATGGGGCTGATGTTACTGAACCTATAGGCCCTGAAGCAGGGGTGGACAAGATCCAGCCTGCATTTAATCTGGCCCGTGGTCCACCCTGCTGTGCTGTGCCCCCGCTCCTAGGCCAATTGAGTTCCAGGGAGTGCATGAAGTCTCCCCCCTACACAAAGAGTAAGGGTGTGGGGTGCCAGAGAGAGCCGCCAGCTGTTCAAAATGGCTGCTGGTTCCCGCTAGGTATTGTGCACCCTAGCAGAGCAGGGGCGGGAAGTTTTGTGTGCTCCCCCACACTCAGCCCAAACAGCTGGTGGGGTGAGGTGGTGGAGAGAACTTGGGGGACCATGCAAAGTCTCCTCCCTCCCTCCACATGTGGTACCTAGAGGGAACCCTTTTATGCCCGAGGCCCCACTCCTTCAAGGGCCAGCCCACGGCCAGCCCACAGCCACTGCCAACATTGGTGAAGTGTCCCCCCTACAAAAATTTGTGCTCACCCCTGCCCTTAACGATTAGCACCCAAGATGTTAGCCATGGCCATTCACTCACCTCTGGTGTTTTCATGTTTCCATGATGATTGAGACCAAAGTGGAGCTTTGTTTCCAATTGACAGCCAGTGAGAATGATGAGACTCAGGCCAGGTCTACACTGGGAGAAAGTCGACCTCAAATACGTAATTCCAACCACAAGAATAGTGTAGCTGGAGTCAACATACCTTAGGTCCAATTTCTGTGGCATCCCCACTGTGTAGTACTGAGGTCAATAGGGATGCCATTGGTGGTTGATTTAGCAGGTCCT